TACTGCTTGCCAAGGATGGAAAACATTTAATTCTAAAATGTCGTAATCAGTTTGGCGCCCCTTGGATTCAGCACCCGGGGACAGATGCCCCCCTCTAGCTTTGCCCCTGTGTATACAACACTGAATTATGTCCATTTTAAGGTAAATTTGCGCAACATCATTTCTTAAAAGTTTCTAAACATCTTTTCAGAGATGGACTTTCTTACAAGATTCAGATAATGAAGATATATTTAGTTTAGTGATCATCAGTCTGAATCAGAAAAAGAGTATGTATCTTCAGAAGACATCCCTTGTGATCAAACTGACTATTTTGTAGGAAAAGATAAAACAACAAAATGGAAGAAAGAACCCTTTCGAATTCAAAGACGCATGGCTTCCCATAATATCATAAAAAAATTGCCTGGCAATACACATATATCTAAAGATGTGGCTTCACCTATCGATGCATGGAAGCTAATATTTGATGACACAATGATTGAAATGATTGTGAGATAATGTAATATTTAGAGAAAAAATATTTCGGGAAATTTTAAAAGAGACGCAAAATCTATGGAGAAAGAAGAGTTTCTTGTATTTTTAGGACTCATACATAGCTGGATTGCACAAATCCTTCCATGTAAATGTTAGAGAATTATGGGCAACTGATGGAACAGGATTGGATATTTTTCGTAAAACAAATGAACTATAAGCGTTTTCTTTTCATTCTTTATGCCTTATCAGTCGTAGCTAGGGTTTTCAGCGCCCAGGGACAACTGAAGATTTCACACCCCCAACTGCTTGCCAAGGATGGAAAACATTTAATTCTAAAATGTCGTAACATCAGTTTGGCGCCCCTTGGATTCTGCGCCCGGGGACAGATGGCCCCTTTGCCCCCCTCTAGCTACGCCCCTGTGCCTTACAATTCGATGATGTCAGAACATAAGATGGCAGAAGAAAAAGTGTAAGAGATTTGTCTGAAAATTTTGTCAATAGTCAGAAATTATATCTTGTAGGGGAATACGTGACTCTGGACGAAAAGCTAGAACCTTTTTGAGGACAATGCTCCTTTCGGCAGTATATGCCTAAGAAACCTGCAAAATATGGTATATTTACTGTGGTTGATTTTAGAACCTTCCATACTTTCAACGTGGAAGGTCAGCAGCCAGATGGGCAATACAAGAAAGTCAACAGTTCTTGTGAAAAAGCAAAGTGCATCCTAGCTCCATTATACAATTCTGGAAGAAATGTTACCACAGACAGTTGGTATACCAGTTATGAATTGGCCAATTTCTTACAGAAAAATAAAATTTCTACCGTTGAAACAATATGCAAGGATAAGAAGATTATCCCACCTGAATTTGTGTCAAATAAGAATAGAGAACAGCATTCAACCCTCTTAGGGTTTTAAAAGGATATAATGCTACTTTCTTATGTGGCTGAAAAGAACAAATGTGTTAACCTTTTGTCAACTATGCACAATAATGACCATATTGATGAAAGCATGGGATATTTGAAGAAATCTGAAGTAATTATATTTTATAACATGATAAATGGAGCACTTGGTATAGTCGAAGAAATGGGTGGCACTTATTCTGTGGCCAGAATATCAAACCGATGGCCTGTGGGCATATTTTTTTCGCTATTAAAAATTGCCGTCATAAATTCAAGGATCTTGCTTTTATCTACTAGTCATCTGAAGAAAACGTAAGTACTTTTGATTTGTTATTAATTTTAAAATTAACATTATTTTTAAGCTATTTCATATAATAAATGTTGTAATTAATACAGAATGCATTACTTTACTGAATTGTAATATATTTCATTTGTATGTAATTTACTTGTGACACGCGTTCTCGTGTTACATAATACAGCGTGCGTCTTCCCGGGTTAACTACTAAATGTCACTACTAAATGTCATTATTAATCTATTTATTTTACTTCTATATGCTAAATATCTCATAACTTGACTGTACACCCTAAAATCATGGCTTCCATATGAAAAATATCTTGCAATTTGACATTACACCCCTAAAATCATGGCGGATTAGCCGTTGATGAACTTCGCAAATAAATATGCACCGGCCCCAACGGATCCTTTGTGGAAGAAAATCCTCCAACATTGCCAAAACATAAAAATTTTCATCATTTAAAACACTTTTGTCACTGCAAGTACAGTCAAAAGTCGTTAATCCGGACTCGTTGGGACTTCGGCGATTCCGGATTATCGATTTTTCCGGATTATAGATCATCAGTTTAAATCTCGTAAGATGTCATGCAGAAATTCTAAAATTAAAAATATGAAACTGTAATTTATGAAATAAAGAGCAATTATGATCTAAAGGGTATCAAAATTTACAAAAAAAAAAAAGCTTAATATTTATTTGTTTACTTTATTAAACATTTCTTTCAATGTAAGTTGTTTAAGTTGCTTCGTTTTATGCGATAATAACTTTCTCTTTAATTCTATAACAGACATAATTTCTTGTCAGTTACAAGTTCCGCTGTTCAAGTCCCGTAATTGCTGTGCCGAGAATATCGACTAACTTTTCAATTGAAATTTTTTCGTTTTCACTAACCTCTCTGTCACCTTCTTCATGTCTTTATCCAATTTTTGCAGCAATTCGACTTTTTGTTTGATGGACATCGAAACATACTTTCGTTTTGTAGATCCTTTGGGAGCTCTAGCATCGGAAATTCTATTTGACATAATTGAAAGTTCAAGTTTACTTTTATAACATTGCTCTTACAATCTGCAAAAAATAATAATCCGCATCCAATTCGAAGATTAAGGAACAATGCAATCATCAACATTAACTGAAATAGATAATTTTAGCTTATACCGTCCGTTATACATTAAACGCGCACGCGAAAACGTATTCTGCGCTTGCGCACACGCATATGCGCAGTCGTAAAGGTCTTACGCGCATGCGTAAACGCCTATGCGCATGTGTCAACTGTCGGCGCATGCGCAGAAAGTTTTTAGCTTTGAGGTCCGGATTATGGGTGTCCGAATTAACGACTTTTGACTGTATATGACTACAACCGATGATTGTGAAAATAAAGGCCGGGTAAGGACTTTTAAGCCATGTATGGAAAGTGCATATTACATGTGTGTACATATATACGTTTGGTACTGCCAATTTAAATAAAAAAGGGAGGTGTACAACTAGATGTTATAACAGTCCCATATAAAAAAATTTCAATGTTAAACAAATGTTTTTGAACTATGCAAGATATATATGTACGTAGAGACATCCCGAAAAAATCCCCTTTGTATTCATTTTGCAATCTGTTTTTGAAATAAAGAGTCCTTCATTCTATTCATCCATACAGACGTCATCCAAAATAGTAATCAAAATGGATATTTCTGTTGAAATCTGATAACTAAAATTTTTTCTGATTAAGAATTTTTTTTTTTTTTTTTGATTAATTCCTTTACTTCACAATGTATCTTCTAAGCAACACTACTTCAATGCTTCACTTTCCTTGAGAAAAAGTAGCAATAATAAGAAAAGCAGCACTGACATATTTTTAATGAGACTGCCCTTAGTTCTAGTAATAAAAGTGAAAGCAAATTTAAAAAGAAGTACAGACATGGAAACAAAGATAAGTAAAACACCCTTTGACTGCCAATAGCTAAGATTTCCTACTAAGGTACCAATAATTGCAGTTGATAATCAAGTTCAGAGTTTTCTTAGAAGAGAATACACGTAAGAATCCACAATGACAATTTCTATTTCCCATATTTATTTACATCAGCTCAAAATAAATGTGTGGATGCAAATTTACAACTTATGAGTTTAACATCAATATTACTTTTCATTTGCCAGTATGAGTTGCAAATAAATGAAACCATGGATAGAAATATGGGAGCATGAATAAACTATCATTTGTGGTAGTATCTTTATCTGATGTGTAGGACCCTTCAACTTTAAAAAAAGCATGTCCAATTTCTACATTAATTAACAATTATAATTTAAAAAAAAAAAAAAAAAAAAAAAAAAAAACATCTACATTTATTGATATTTAGTATTTTAATTTTTATTATCTGTATATATGATTTTTGCTTTGATATCTACACTTATATGTGTGATTCTTTCTTGCCTCCTTCCAATACAAACTGCGTGCATAGGCGTTTACGCATGCGCGTAAGACCTTTACGACTGCGCATATGCGTGTGCTACATTTCCCCATCACTGTATTTATACAATTGCATAACATTTAAAGGAAACTCGCTCTAATACTGACTTTTAACAAACATTTAAAATTTACAATATCCCATAGTGGCAAAAGATTTCTTATTTTAAGAATAGTTATGCAATGTTATAAGGGAAAAGAGATTCTATACAGATGGGAAATCAATAACAGCAATCTCATTTAAGGAATGTTATTTTTAAATTAGTCAGTTTAAAATTAAAATTTATTGCCAAGAAGCTACGGTTACTCATGAAAAAAGTACACCAAGATATCTTTTATAATCTTTACCACAAAATTTTACTAAGCATAACATATGCACTCACGTCCACTAACAAAATAAATCATCCTAATAAACATAAAAAGAAACTTACACAATGCTTCTACACATACAAGAATTGAATCAAATTAGTCACTTAAAACAAAACATGAGCCCAAAACATTTGGACTAATTGCTTAATAATAATAATATGTCTTTGTGAAGGCCTTTGACAGAAACCTGTAGTTGCAGCATTACATGCCAGAAAAACCATACTAATCTTATGTATATGTTATAATGAAGTTGATAAAGATAAATAACAAAATTATAAATAAAAATTTATTATGGATATATTTGATCAAGGTAAAGCTGAAAATTCCTCACTACAAGAGTCAAATACTGGAAATTTAAGGATAAAAATTGCTCATAGAAACTTCTTAATTATAAAGGCATGCTGCATTCAAAATGTTGCCATAACAATCAAGCACTACATATGTAAACTGATTTATTATATAATAAGTAAACACAAAATATTAAAAAAATTAAGAGATACATAAGATACACTTACGTGCCCATGAAGTATAAATTAAGTAGTAGTTAATCTTTCTGTACAGTGATCGATTTGAGTTGTATAAAAGTACATATGTTAAAGCTTGTAAACCATTTATAATCAATCCACTGATTAGAAAAACAAATGTTATGAAGCTGCCTAATAAGATATAACCAATTGCTTTAAGCATCTTGTCACTGAAAAGGAGGGAAAAAAAATCAGTTTATTTTATTTTTAAATGCTGCTTACTACATAACACATTATTTCAATGTATTTTAATGTATAGAAAAGTTAAATATTGTATAACATACATTACTAACATTCAATAAATTCTTCATAACTAAAATATTTTGCTAAAAGAAATTCACTTATTAATCTAGTACACGAATTAAAACATCTACTTCCCCTCCCTTATTTTAAATTCACTCTTCATGTTTACTTCGAAATCCTACATGCCTATTTCGTAATTTCACACTAAATGCTTTAAAGTAGTCGCGATAATATTGCAAGTTCATTACACGCCGAATTTCAGACAAGGAGTACTACTTTTTATAAAATGCACGTATCTTGCCGTGAACATAAATATTCTTCACCGCATGTAATTTAATAATACAAACAGAAAAATAAATTCTTAAAAATATGTTAAAATATACACAATATTAATATAAAATACGAAACGTCTCTGGAAAACTACTTAATAGGCAAAAATACTTGCGTTTTTCTCTAGAGTGGTTAGCGAATACTACGCTCTTCCTCCACAATCAAGGAAAATCTCATCCAGGAAGAGTTTGATATTACCTCTGATGCAACCTTTGAACTGTGGGATGTTCACGCCGCAAGATGTAAACAAGGCGAAATTTGAGTTAAAATTAACTTCAGACTTCAGATAAAGGTAAAACTTTATTTTTTTCATATGTCAAATATATAAAAGACAAACAGCGGATTAAATATATAAAACATAGTTAATTTAATTATTAAAACGAAAGATAAAGCGCTTTTCCTCAAAGGAGAAAGATCACCTAAATTCTACAAAAAAATCTGCCAATCATACGTGCCAAATTCGTAACGAGTTTAGTAAGTAGTGAGGCTAGCGGTTAGAGCAATTAAATAAAAAAAAAAGTGAAGTTAAAAGCGGACTTAATTAATTACGTACAGACCGTATTAAGAATAATACTATCAATATAATGGTGAAACAAGGTTATCATTTAATGAATTTATACAGTTACCTGATACGTAATGTGTAATAACTATGTAATGTGATATCCGCGATTCAATTCACCTATAGGTGGCGCTTTCACACATTAGTATGGCGGATAAAAATCGGTATTTTGATTTCTGATCTGACTTCGTACATTCAAAAATGGAGTTGTTAAGCTCTTCCTAAATGTTTGATTTTGTTCAAGGAGGCGTAAATTCTCGCTGTTTTACTGAACAGAGAGAATTTTAAAAGCTGATCCTTTCGTAATGCACGGAATTTTACTTGAAATCCATGCACAAGTTTTGGTCTATTTAAGATAAGTTCTATAGCGTCCTGATCGTATGAAATCGAAGGACATTTCATTGTTCAAAGTACAAATAAAATTAAAAAAATATTCTTGTTCATGTAAAGGAGGAACTGCTGCTGTTGTAGGAAATTGTGTCGCTGATTATTGTGAGGTAGTGATTTAACGTTCCTGATGTAAAAATGTTTCATATGTGTTTTACTTGGATTCCAAAATCTGTGCATCCAAATGTCTTTTTTTTCCCAAAAATAATAAATCATTATATGTTCAAAAATATTGATCTTTATTGATCTATTGTATTTATTTACCATGATAGCACTATGAGATCATTCCGCAAGAGAAGAAGAGGAAAAAAGTGGTCCCGTGATCTAGTGACAACAATCTCCGCACGTGCGCTGTTTACGATGGAGTCTATAGCAGATGTACCACTAAAATTAATTGATTTTTCTAATTTAGAAATTTACAGCTATTGTGAAAAATTAAAAAGTACTCTTGGAAGTGATTTCTCTTTTCTTGATGTCAATAAAAAGGGCCTTCTCTTGTTCAAGGAAAAGCATGTGAATAATATTTGTTTTCAAGTAATGTCAGATAGTAGGGTATTTATAGTAAGCTGCGTTAAGGCAGAAATAAAGAAAAACAGTTAATTATAAAACGTCTGTGCAAATTTCTGCAGAAAATGAGGTAAGATTCATAAATTTTCTTTTATGCATAATACCTACCAATATTCATGTTTTACTTTCCTAGGAATATTAAGTGTATATCAATAGTTGAAAAATATTCCCGAGACCTTGAATAATGTTTTCCAAACTTTAAAATGCAAACATAATCATGTAAATATTTGTTAATAGTTTATGCATAGTTGTTCTAAATTATTGAAATAGTTGAATTCACGCAAGATCTGCTTATTGCTTATTTGCAAAAACATAAACACCAAGCTAATTTTTCTCTTATTAATTGAGTGCCATAGAGAACATATTATACCATTGAATTTTTATTAATTTCGTTACGTTGTGTTTTAATAATGTGGCTGTTAGAATCTAGTTTTAATCAATACGCATAAATGTAGTATTTTTTTATCGCTTTCTACTATAAAATAAAGAAATATCTATGATAAAAAAATTATTAATTTCACAGCTAGAATTACAGCGAACTCAGTTGTGCAAATCAATACAATCTTCTTTTTGACATTTTTACTGTAATATAAAAAATAAATGTTAATATGAAGTTCATGCTATCTATAGATTTAGAATCAGTTATGAACAATTAAATTTCAAGGGGTACAAAATTATGTATTAATTTTGAACTGTGTATCATATTAGTATCACTACCGTCACATAATTTTAGGGCAACTGTATTTATAATGTTCCAGACATTTTAGTCTAACATTTTTGAAAACCATCTTGTGCTTGTCAGGCTGATAAAATTGTGACTTATAATAGTAATTACATTATTATTGTAGAACAACATACATGAGCATTATTTTATGTATTTCCTCTTGCAGTATACAGAATTATTATTGCAAATGATTCATAAGATTTCAAAAAAGTACTGAAAATAATTTTAAAAACTATAATTATTAAAAAACTATTAAGTTAATTAATACTATTTGAAATCAAGTAGAAATATTTCATATTTTACTGATAAAACTATAAATGTTCAATATGTGTTGTTCTGGTTTTATGATGTACATAGAAATGAGTATCCCAATCTTCCCAACATGTATTGTAACTTTTTCGACACTTTCTTTAGAAATGCTTGGCCATCTAAAGTTGTTGCCTTTACATAGGCAAGTATTATTCTTAAATTGTCTATACCATCTCATATTCTGGTGGCTTTTTGGAATATACAGTTGCATTGTGGTGCTTTGAAATAATTTTGCATAGTAACAAAAATATAAATGTTGCATATTTCCAAAACACAAAATACTTCAACATTTTCATAAATGGTCACTTATTGGCTGCATGAGATGAACACAAGAATGCCTCTATATGTAAACTTAAATATTTAACATATTTAAGTTTACATATATGAATGTGTGTGTGATTCATAACTTAAAAATTATTGGACTTTGAAACCCACTGAATAAATTGTAACAACTTTGCATAGTTGGTCCCAGAATTTCATTAATGTTCATATTTTTTATTATAGATTCAGACTGCTATTTGTGACTGCCCTGGTGGATCTAATCCTGCAAGTTGCAAGCATGTTTTTGCATTGCTTTATGCATTAGTTGATTATAGTCAAGTAAAATTATATGAAGCCCCAACTGAACAGCTACAAAAATGGCATCAACCAAGGCCAAAACTCTTATCACCAAAAAAGAGTTCAGATATATTTAAGCCACATGCTTCCAATTATTCAACCACGAATTCTGTTAACTTTTCAGCACTTTTTGGAGAAAACTGTAATTTCCCAATATTCTCTGTACTGGAATGTACAGACCATCTATTTCAAGTCGGAACAATTCCCCTACCTGCATTGGTATGTACCAGGATAAATATTGAAATGCCCGATTTCTTAAATATAGAAGAGGTGCTTTACTTTCATCAAAACATAAAATGTAGCCTAGAAGAAGCATGGGAGATAGAGCTTAAAACTACAGAACAGAGTGAGAGCAATTTGTGGAAGAACCACCGTCAGATAAGACTAACAGCTTCTGCCTTTCATAGTATTGCTCACAGGATGGCAGACTTTGATACACTGGCAGCAAATATATACAGAAATCATGAAAAAGACCTCAGCAAATTGCCAGCAGTCTCATTTGGTTCCAGACATGAAAGTGTTATTAGAAATTTTATCAGGAGCCAAAATGAATCTTATATTTTGAGAAAAGTTGGGGTTGTTACCAACCCACGTATTCCATTTTTGTGTGCATCACCTGATGGCTTACTTTTTAACAAAGAAAATGTTCGGCTTGTCGAAATAAAATGCTGTTACAATCCTGAAAATGTTGAGCTGAATCAGCTTGCCAAAAGACCAAATTTTTGTTTATACAATGTAGATGGAATTTGGAAGCTTAAAACAACTCATGCATACTTTTATCAGATTCAAGGGCAATTAGCGATAAGTAATTTAACAGAATGCCAGTTTACTTTTTATTACAAATATCCAAATTATATTCATACACAGATTATACATTTTGATCCTGTATTTTGGAATAATTTGAAACAACAACTTAAAAATTTTTATTTTAATCATTACATTAAGTTCTGTTTAAGATGTTAAATTTTATCTTGGCAGTATATCTGAAATCTCATATATACATTGTGAGCAATATACTATTATTGACATGTTCTAGCTGTAAAAAGAATTATATAAATATGTAACTTGCCTTTATGTATAAAAGCAGGCAACAATGAGCTGTTGGTAACAGTGATACCCCCACAGTATAGTGGATAATAGAGAATTTGTTCTCGGGGACCTGCATACCATTTTACATTAAGGCTGTAATTACTTTAAATAATCATCAATAATTGATCATTCTTTCATCAAGCCTTTGGTGGACTTAACTCATTTAAGGTATAATTATGTATTGGGATCAGTATGAAATCAATATTTCCTTAGCATGTTTGATGTGACTGAAAACTAGCTAAATTTCTTACAACTTTAGCTCTTTGATTTAAATCATTGGAAAAAGGAATTTGACCATTTCTTAAAATCTGATGTGATACTTAACAAATCTTACTAATAAAATAATTCAGTTAAAATGGATCTATAAGGTGCACAGACTGATATTGTTTTCTATATGAAAGAGTTTAAAATAAATCAAATTACAAGCTGTAACACAATGGCCAATACAGTACAAAGTCCGAAATCTGGACTCGTCGGGACCTTGGCGATTCTGGATTTGGGATTTTTCCGGATATCAGATCATCAATTTAAATCTGGTGAGACGGCATGCAGAAATTATACAATTAAAAATATGAATTCATAATTTATGAAATAAAGAACAATTATGGTTAAACAAAAGGGTATCAAAATTTACAAAAAAAAAGCTTAATATTTATTTGTTTACTCTATTAAGGCTTTATCTAGGGGTGGCGCTAGATACCGCCTGGTGCAGTCTGTACGGGTCCTAAATTCTGCTACAAAGCACCTATTTAAGTTATAAATTTTCACCGTGCCTAAACTTTGGATCCCAGGTGCTTTCCCTAAATCATAAAAAACTTCTCATCCCTTAATTTTGCCACTTGGTGCTTCCCCAAATTCCAAAAATTTTGTCTTCCCTAAATTCTGCTGCTGCCGCTTCTGGGTTTATGGTGAGTAACATATCAGTTATTCTTAATTAAATATAGCACTAAATGTAATCCTTTGGCCTAAGAGTTTCATTAACAAAATCTATTTTTAGCATATGAAAAGAAATTTTTGTTAAATTTTTCTTTGTCAACATTTCTTAAAGCATTTAAAAATCTATAATCATCACCAAGCATAATGTTAGCATAAAAGGTTGCCATACTCTTGTTATTCAATTACTAATATATATGAAAAGTTTAGACATCACTGCATGAGTTATTACTGAAGCTGCCATGTATTGATAAACATGCGGTGATGAAAGCAAAATATAATGAATAATGACTCGCCAGATCGCTGTTGGTGATATAAAACAGGTGAATGTTTGATTTGAGATGTATGCTAAGCAGATACTCAACTAAGGATCCAAATTATTAATCTCACAAATTTATGCTTACATGATTGTTTTTCCATGAGGTATTTTTTTAGTGCCTAAGTGAAATTAACAATCGGAATTTTTAAGTGAAAATCTCCACGTTTTATTACGGAAGGAAAAATCAAATGCGTATGCGTAAAGTATACCCCCCCCCCCAAAAAAAAAATGTTCGTGGCTTTAAGGTCCGGATTTCGGACTTTGTATTATACTTGAACCGAGAAAGTGTAAGTAATGACCATACTTTTTACTATTGCCATCGCACATACATAGTTTGCTACTTGCCACTGACATAGAAGACTCTGCTTGGTCTTCTGCTGCCATAGCCCATTAAAACCAAATTTCCTACCAGACATGTCTATTATACATCCCACATTGATTTCTGCAGTTATTTCATGCAGTGTTGTTTCAGTCATTAAGTGCAGGTGATTGGCCACTGTGTGTCCATGATGGGAGGTTATACCTGAACTTACGTATTCCCGGCACGTTCTTGTTACCTCTCTATGTTGAATTCCCTAATTTCCAAAATGGAATGTCCCATGCATCTAGCTCCAACTACCATTGCATGCTTAGAGTCTGTTAATTCCCACTGTGTGGCTATAATCACACTGAAAACTTTTTTACATGAATAACTTGAATACAAACAAAAGCCCTGCCAATTTGCCCCATTTATACATATATCAGTGTATATTATACACACCCTGTATAAGTTCACTCTCCTACATTTGAGAAACATTTTTGGGAAAACAAACTTGTTGAGCAATGCCATTGCCACTAATAAAAAAAAACAACATTCCAATGTTCACAATAAAATTTAATTCACGATTTAGTGAATTTTTTTATTTCCATTTTAGCAGATAATAAGCCTCACTTGGATAGACTGCGCCATCTTCTCTGCCATCATTTAATTCTATGTTACATTTGCTGATTCGATATGGTTTTATTAACTAAAGAGCGCCTCACAGATAGCGTACAGATTGAATTGGTCTGCGACATCAGATGTTGAATTAAAAAAAAACACTAATAAATAAAAATAAGAAACATAAATAAACATTTTTTTTCCTGCATGAACGATATATTCGAGTAATAATCAAGTTCTCCGACGTGCCATCAATCAGCGGCAATGCCGTTGGGATATTTTTTTAGGTTCTGCGTAAAAGTCGAACCCCTAATTTGAAGTTTGACTTTTTCTTAAAATTTGTTACTTATATGCGAGTATATACAGTATATGCATAGCAATAACACAAATCAATAAATACACAAAAACAGCAAAAATAAATATAAATGTATTACTGTTTGAAATTTGCTTTATAAAAGTTATGTTGCTTATATGGAAGGAGTTCTGATGATGTGTTTATTTGTGCTAATTTTTATATTGCATCTTTGATTTATTATTTATATTATACAGTTATTTTCCTTGTTTTATACATGCATATCGAAATTTACATTTCTCATAGAGCGGCGATAATAAAACTAAATACAATGGTAGAATAATGATAATACATTTTTATCTTCAAATGACTGATGATCTATGTTAATTTTTTCATTATATAACAAAAGAATATGAAACTACTTTTTAAAATTAATCATTTTATATAAGATTTTAAAAAGTACACAGATTTATAAAACAAAAAATATTTCCATTAACAAATGGTATGAAGTAAAATATATGTACACATATTTGGGAATACATTAACCATCTAACTATTTTTTTTTTCAGAATTTAATGGTAAAACATTTATCAGAGGTTTATTAAAATTCGTTAAAAATGCAACAATAAAAAACACCTCATTTAAATTATGTAGGCTATTATATGGAATAGCTCCCTCAAAATAGCGGAATATTTTTATTCTTCCTATTGCCCGTTCAATATGCACTCTTTTATTGGAAATAGCTTTATTTTCACTTCTTTGTTCAAGAGTGAACTGAATGTTTCCTTTCAAAAAGTGCGGTATTTTTAAATGACACCCTTTCTTAGATAATTCTGAATTAATTGTAAATCCTTTATCAGCTAATACTAAATCTCCTTCCTCGAGCAAATCAAGTAACTGACTTTTTAAAAAGAGAGCTTTATCTGATATTGCACCACACCACAAATCTGAAATAAAGGTGACTGCTCCAGAAGGAGAGATGCCGACTAGTGCTTTCAGCGTATTGGCATTTTTGTAGTAGCTGAAAGTTAGTTGCTGTTCTGTAGGATTGCATGGCCTCTGTATTTCGAGCTCTGTGCAATCAATGATTACTCGGCAATTTGGATATTGATGTAAGAATTGCAGAGGCATGAACTCTTTAACTTGGGCCTTTTTTGGCCATATATTCACACATTTAAGCTTAGTAGAAACAATTCTCGTTACACAATTGAAAATCTTTGAAACTGTAGAAGAAGAAGCTATCTTAAAAATTATTCCTAGGAATTCATTTGTGGTTCCAGTTCGAATTTTCACTAGAAACATGAAAAATTGATCAATAGGTGGCATTCTATCTTTCTTTAACAAATCTTCCGATAAATTAAAAAAGTTGAATATTGTCATAAACGTCTCATGAGAGAAACCTGTTACGCATTTCATGTTTACTTTTATCCTCTCATTAGCTGAAGAAAACACATTCAATAAAACATTATTTTGTGCAGCATCCAATTGGTCTCTCATTTGACAAAATTCGTTTAAAATTAACAAAAAAGACTCGTCAGTTTGTGATGATACTGTCTTCCTTATGCAAACAGGAATATTTGCTCTGAAAAGGAAAAGAAAATTTGCTCTGAAAAAGTTTTGAAAGAAAAGAAAAAAAAATAGTTTGGAATGGTGAATGAATTTCAACCATAACTTTTTTATTTCTGTGGTTATGGTAATCTAGGATGGGTTATATTCAATATTATAAAAAAAATATATTGTAGACAACAAGCTTTAAGACCAAAATAAATGCATAAGTGTCCTTTTAATAATTTGAAAAATAAAGATAATAATGAAAGAAAGAAATAATAAAAGAAAACAGTTCTTTTAATAATTTGGGAATAAATATATGTATAAAATAAAGGTACTTAACTGGGTATAAAGTATATATGTTATGAATAACAATCCCCTTCCCCCATTTTGGTGACACTACACCATGCTACACGTTGCAAACATCTAATTTATCACTTGCATCTAGCTAAAGTACCAAAATAACTGATAAATTTAAGATAGCTGAATATAAGTATAAATAGCATTTTATTATGAAAAGACATTTCTAAAATATCTATTCTGATTACAGTACGACAACTTAATAAAAAAATGCATTCTCTTAGCTAGAAAGGTATCAATGTAACAGATTTAGGTACTTTTCCATTATGCACTTGCCATACATTTTGATGTGTGTGTGTGTGTGTGTGTGAATAACAGAAAAGTGCCGTATGTGCGTACACATATACCACTTCGTACACACACATACCAAAATGCATGGCAGATATATAATGGAAAAGTTCTCTCATTTATTTGGCATTCTTTTGTTGAACTATTTAAATACTTATGTAATATATAGAATTCCTTATTAAAGGGGTTTCCCAAGACTGAATCACTAATCAACTGAAACATCTCATTGAAATCTTTCCACGTATTTCTCATACCTTGTTACATCTTGGTTGATTAGTAATTAAATTTGAGGGCATTTTACTAAATTTTCAATTTTTTGTGAAACTTTTACAAGCAAATAAACATAATGCATACAAAATAGAGGACGAACTAACAATATAAATTATATTTAAATCAGCAATAGATCCAGTCCCGGATCTAGGGGGGGGCAAGCCGGGGCTGTGCCCCGGGCGGCAACTTCTGAGGACGGCAAATTCAAGAGTCGCGCTGAATTGTATTTGGAATGTTGTCCTTTATCACTTAATTTAAGCCAGAAAAATCTTAAGATATATTAATTATTCGAAACCTTTGGAGCAAACAGTTTTAAAAGTAAGCTAAGTACAGCCGAACACGACTCTAAAGATAAGATCAGAGAGAGGACAATAGAGGGACTCCAGGCCAAAGAATGTCTATGTAAAGAAGGAAAGGTTCCATAGACGTAATGTAAACCAGTTTGCCTTCTGCGCCGCTAGAAAGAAGAGGGAACATTTGGCGACGGAACCTGTTGGCGAGAATTTCCCCCTCTGTAATGTACCGGACCTTACGGAGATTTTCGTATTATGACATTCTTTGGTATTATAGGAGGAATACGGGTTAAGATGAATCCTTCTTTGACAAAACGTTTCTTTGACTTTTCGCGATAATTTAAACTCGGATTTTCGTGCTTTTTTTTTTTTTTTTTTTTTTTTTTTTTTTTTTTGTTTTTTTTTTTTTTTTTTTTTTCCCTCAAAATAAATAATCCATTAATTAATTTAGCGCGAAAAAATATGTTATTTACCTTTGCACAAAACGATATTCACGTTAATAATATTGTAACTAAATGTACTTAGATAATTTCATATAAGAAAATCTTTTATATTAATTCAGATTATTTTATAAATTTATCAGTGTTTTTTAAATATATTGAAGGTGACTTTTTTTTTCACGATTCGCACTGTTTCTTTAAATATTTCCAAGTTATAGAACATACCAAATTACCTCATATTAAGTAAATAATAAAACCTCCAAATTTTAGAGTAAATTAAGTTTTGATACAATTAAATATTATATATGACATATATTTCTTTAAATTCTGTGCATATTTATTTAATAAATCTATAACAAAATCTTCCCTCTTTTTATATAACTCTACATAAATGTTTTCTCACAGATGTTACTTTTAACACTTCAGGCAGACTTACAAAACTTTTAAGAAATTTCACAATTTTTTAAACAATACTGAAGTTATAGATGAAATACCAAAAACTATCATACCTTATCTCACATTCCCTATCTTTTTTCTGTATGTATATAAATTTATACATTAAGTTTTGAATGCCTCGTTTGATATATTATGCAGACCTTAAAAAGATTCTCAGAAATATTACTACTGCAACTATATGTAATGTCAACCATTTATACTTCTAATATTTAATATAATCTGAAATTAATTGCAGAATTAATATTAGACTTTGCGCCCACTCCTCCTTTTTATACTTCTGTACATATTTCCCCCTCATGTCATTTGTTTGACATATTCTGTAGCTGTGAATTAAAAAACTTTTCAGAAGCATAATTACTAACTGTAAACAATAGAAAAATTATCTACATAATTCAGCCAAGTATAATTTTTAATATTTAAAGTAGTCTGAAATTAATAACAGAAATAATGATATACTTTACTCCCTTCCTTTACTTCTACATACTTTCTTATGCCATTTGTTTAATACGTTATCAAGACTTTAAAGAAAGCTTTTCAGAAATATCATTACTGCTAGTAAACAACATTAAAAACTATCTATGTGATGTCAATTAATTAGCATTCATAATACTTAAAACAATCAGATATTATTTTAGGAATACGACATATTTTATAATTCCACTCAGATTTAATATGTCTCTTAAATATTAAACAAAAAAACAAAACCAGAATTTATTTTAATATATTTTCTATTTATTGATTTTCTCTAACTGCAGACAAAAAAATACATATACATTTAATTATCTAAATGAGCAGCAAGCAATATTTTAAAAAAAATTCTTAACTGATTTGTCAATGTAAGAAAATTTTTTCTTGTTATCAAAACATTTCACGTATAAACATTCTTGTTCATAAATTTTTTTCTATTACAAACTCTTTGCAGGATTATTAAACCACATATTATTAACATAATTATTAAAAGATTAAAATAATAGCTAGCAGTTTTTGTTGTGCTTATCATAATGTTCTTTAATATGTCCTAAACTTAAATGTTCTTTACTTAAAGTTTTCTATTGTTACCATGTTTTGCAATCCTTTCACAATATAATCCACATTGTTACTCTTCAAAACATATTTCAACACTGAAAAGCCAAGACATTATGACCACTTACTCAATAGCACATCGTGTAACCTCTGGCCTACATAACAGCTTCAACTTGCCTTGGCATGGACGACACAAGTTCTTGGTAGATGACTGGAGACAGCTTGTACCAAATGTTTAAGCAGTGGTCACACAAAGTTGAGATATTCCAACATGGTGATGTTTGAGCTCAGAGCTGCCGCTCCATGAAATTCCAAATATGCCATATCGTAGTAAGATCTGGATGAGTTAGGTGGCCAGGGTATTAATTGGAATTCATCATTATGCTCCTCGAATACTCCGAACACAATTCGATCCTTGTGACATGGGGCGTTGTTCCTCCTGGAAGATTCCATTTCCAGTGGCTGTGTCGTGCCGATTTTGCGGTATCAAGAGGGACAGTCTCCAAAGTCCTTTTTCTTTGATGATCCTGTGGGTGTCAACATCTTACCATCTGCTGCTGGTTCCAAGCGTCATTTATCCAATTTGCATAAATAGTTTAACAACGGCAGATTGCGAAAACCTACCAGTTGTTCAGTTTCATAGATACTTGTTTCGAGCCTCATTCGAGTTCAATGAAAAATGTGTCCCACATTTTTCAGTGGTCATAATGTTTTGTCCCGTCAGTGTATATGCAAGAGTTATAATACGATAAAAGGAACATTTACACTCAAGGAATGTACATATTTTACTGCATTATGATTGAAATATAAAGCAGAAGAAGAACCAAATTTACAACCAAGAGGTTAACAGTATTATTTAAATTAAAAAATCCTAAATTGCATTTAAAAAAATTTAAATCTGTATAGGTTACTGAAGTCACTGACTGTATTATTTAGTACTTATTACGTGCAACATTGCATAAATGAATATTTATACTGCGACTCAAATCCTAATCCTATTATTAAACATAAATATAACATAAGTTGATCATTTTCTACACTATTAAATGAATTACTGAAAGAAACATTATTATGGAATTAATATATTACATTATTATGACAAATTGGTATGCATAATTGCTATTAATAACATTTGAAATATACTTGTTAGTCCTCTTATTTTACTTTTTTAAAAACAAATCAGTGGTCACAGAATTTAGTTATGAATGATTATTCTTTTTTTAATTTTATAAAAAAATTTAGTGCATTCAGGATGATTCAACCAATATTGTATTCAGTTTCACAATAAATAAATATACTTATCAAAGAATAAAATTTGCATCAAGAAATTTATCCTGAAATGCATAATATCTGCATACTTAAAATTCAATATATAAAGACAACATGTGGCAATTAAAAGCACCAGTTCCATATAAACTTAAAAATCATGAAGCATTCTAAATTCATACGTAATTGGTTCACTATTATTCCACCTTTAAAAAAATTAGCATTCATAATCAATAAATCACTTAGAATATGATATAAAAACTGATTATTAGCATAATAGAAAATAGACACAAAA